GGCACACGTGGAAGAGGGTTGCAAGGTCGGTCTGGCTCAGGTAGCGGCTCTTCAGCAAAAATATCCAGGTATGTTCAAACTTATGCTCTGTACTGAACCACCTGTCCACGCTGTCCTTACCATGCGGTGAATTGACGGCAAGAAAAACCGGGGATGGGAGTTTGGTGGCTGCCCATGCCTCGCGGTCGCGTTTGGTCATGGATGGGGTAGACGAACGACCTTGGACGGAGACTTCAAGGAGCTCTCCAAATGTTTCTTGCTCTGCGTCAGTGAATTGGTAGTACTGGGAATCGGGAGGTAGGGCGGATCGGTGGTGTGCTGAGGGCGCTGCGGAAGGTTGGCTCGGTGGAGGGGTGGAGATGGAAATTTGGGGCAGTGTGGGTTGGTTCGACATTGGTGTCTGGGTGGGTTGGTAAACGAGGCTGCTTGGGTGAGGGATGATGCATGTAGAGCACTCAGGACTTGGAGTGGGTGTGGGGGGAATGCACAGAAAGGAAGTGGAAAGTAAGTCACTGACGGGTTGAATGGTATTTAAGTAATGGAGTTGGTGGAACTAACCATGAGACTTTGGGGCCGAACGGGTCACCCCAGGGGTTTTTTCAATGAATTTTTCAAATGTCTGGGTGTCGGCAGATCCCATAGTTGCTGCAAACTGTTTGGTGTAGTGGATATTGTGGCAGCGGGGGCGGTTGCAATGGTAGTTGGCAAATAGGAAATGGGAACAGAAGGCTGCCTGTTTGCCGGTGATGGGGTGTTTACATTTGAAAGGGGCAATTGGAAGTCGGCCTGGGCCGTCATACGTCAGGTATCCGGGATGAGTTCCTTGAGGTGGGTGCTTTGCGCGTTTGGTTGGGTCAGGCCGTTCACGGGAATTGGGGCTCTCACGTTTGGGAGCGGGGGTTGGTTTTCCATTGAGAATAGCGTGCAGGTTGGGGCATGTGCCGTACGGGCCAAGGTTGCCCATACTGATGGAGAGATTGATGTGGCTGATGGCTTGTGTGACTCCACTGAAAGCGTTCACGAACGTGTCTGCCATGATCGGTTGGCCATTACGAAGTTTACTCTGAGTCGTTTTGTTTTTTGCGGCTCCCACAACAATTTGCAAGATCTGGTTCATTTCGAGGAGGAGACACAATGGGAGGTGTGGGACTGCGGCATTGTAACGGATCCAATCTTTGGCAGCAGGTGTGTGGAGGGCGTTCATGAAATCCTCCAAGAGTGTGACAATTAACGGGGGGTCATCGAAGGTAAAGTCTTTGACACAGTATTTGACAAAGGCAAAGAAATTCGCTAACATCTTGATCAGAGCTTCGACAGAACTGACGTCGCCATGAACAAAGATGTCTGTCTTTTTCGCGGCTTGCTTGGACTTGTCTTCTTCCATGGCTTCCTGGCGGATTATGTCTCGGCCTTCCGAGAGGAAAGTGGTGTACCTGACATCATTTTTGTTCGGTGGGAGCCAAGCTAGGAGGCTGAGAAGTGAGGTGGCTTTGTGGGGGTGCATGGTGAGGGGGCGAACTCCAAAGCTGCATGTTTTGAGGGCAGTGACTGTAGCGTGTTGGAAGAGGGCAATATCAAAGTCGACGTTTCGGTCATAGTTGTTCCGAGTGGTGAGGGTATCGGTGATGTGGGCAAAGGTGTCATGGAGGTGGCGTAGGGCCTCTCTGATCGAACCGATTTCCAAGAATGTGACAAAGTCGTCAGTGAGGACGGATGGGTGGAATTCGTTGACAGTGGAGCCGTCAAGCTGAATGACCGGTTTGACTCGGCAAAAAATCAAGCTGAAAGAGTCTTTGGCACTGGCTGAAGTGCGGGCCAGATCTTTTCCTTGGTGCTGGCATTGGCGCCTTTGAGAGCGTTGGCCATGATCTGGGCAAAAAGTTTGCTATCGAATGGGGCCCCTGCTGGAAGGGGGGCTGCTGGAGCTTCTTGGGTAGTGACATGATTAGTAGATGCTAAAGTAGAGAGGGCCGAGTGCCGTTTGAATTCTTCGAAGAGGGCTTTGTAGGTGGGGACCTCAGCTGCAAATGCACTGACGGTGGATGGGGAATATGTCAGATGCGTAGCTAGGTCGCTGTCTGGAAATCGATCGGTTGGGATGGTGTCGGCGCTGAAGATGTGGGCGTGGGAATGGATGCTCTGGGACTCATTGTGATCGTGAAGGTACTTCATTGCCTCGTACCAGAGCCGGAATTGGGGGTGGAAGGATTCCAGATTGGCTGGTGGGGCGGTGGATAGCTTAAGGCTTGGTGGGATGTTGGCACCAGGGTAGATGGGGAAGAACTTTTTGACTTCGGTGAACACTCCGTCCCCACTGGGCCAGTGGATGTCCTCGGGTGGGTCGGTGCTATCGGGGGCCAAGGCAGTGTGGGCAGAGTAGTGGGCGTCATGAAGGTGCCGGGCTTGACATTCTCGAGCGAGGTCGTCTCGGGCAATAGAGATGACGCTGCTGCCAAGGGCATCTAAAGAAAAGGCAACTGAGGTGGGGGCATCATAGCTATCATTTGCGGATGCCCAGTGCAAGTTTGGGCCGACCTGCTTAGCGCAGATGACTTGCCGGAGGGTACCATCGGCGCCATCAAAGTAAGCAAATCCGCGAGCTTGGGAGAGGAGGATGTTTTTGCACTCACTAGCGACATGGGTGTGAAAGTAGTTGGAGAGGAGGAGGTTTTCCTTAGTAGTATCCAGGGGTAGGTCCTTGACGGTTGTCAAAGCAGAACGACCGACCTAGAGGATGGCATCAAGGGTGCGTGGGGGAAAGGTCTGCATTGGTTCAATGAAATGGCCAATACTGGAGATTTGTGAGTAGGTTATGGAAACGAATAGTGACTATTGGGGGTATTTTTCAAATGAAATTTGTTGGTTGGAACGGTCGGTTCTGAGAGGGTGTAGTGCCTAACGGAAGGATGCCTGGTGGAGTATCCAGGGTGAGCCGTCATGGTGTTACAAACAGAAGGCTGGGTGTAGTCGGAGTGCCGAGATGCGCTGCCAGTCTTTGGCAAAGGCAATGGCGACGGGACTCACACGATTGGCGCATAGTGGGTTTGGTGCGGAGGTCCATGGAGGTGGAGTTTGTTAGAATAAAGCAAAATGTGCTCTATCGTGAGTGCTTTTAGCGCTCAGAACAAACTCTCTGCAATCTAAATTCGTAATCGACTGTACAACACTTTCACGACAATAGTTCTCCTGTGTCTAGGT